GAGGCAGAGGAACCAGAGACCAAATTGCAAACATGCGCTGGATTATGGAGAAAGCTAGAGAGTTCCAGAAAGACATCTACTTCTGCTTCATTGACTATGCAAAAGCCTTTGACTGTGTCGACCACAGCAAACTATGGCAAGTTCTTAAAGAAATGGGAGTGCCTTATCACCTCATCTGTCTCCTGAGAAATCTCTATGTGGGACAAGAAGCTACAGTTAGAACTGGATATGGAACAACTGATTGGTTCAAAATTGGGAAAGGAGTACGACAAGGCTGTATATTGTCCCCCTGCTTATTTAACTTATATGCAGAATTCATCATGCGAAAGGCTGGGCTGGATGAATCCCAAGCCGGAATTAAGATCGCCGGAAGAAATATCAACAACCTCAGATATGCAGATGACACAACCTTGATGGCAGAAAGTGAGGAGGAATTAAAGAACCTTTTAATGAGGGTGAAAGAGGAGAGCGCAAAATATGGTCTGAAGCTCAACATCAAAAAAACGAAGATCATGGCCACTGGTCCCATCACCTCCTGGCAAATAGAAGGGGAAGAAATGGAGGCAGTGAAAGATTTTATTTTCTTGGGCTCCATGATCACTGCAGATGGTGACAGCAGCCACGAAATTAAAAGACGCCTGCTCCTTGGGAGAAAGGCGATGGCAAATCTAGACAACATCTTAAAAAGTAGAGACATCACATTACCAACAAAGGTCCGTATAGTTAAAGCCATGGTTTTCCCAGTAGTGATGTATGGAAGTGAGAGCTGGACCATAAAGAAGGCTGATCGCCGAAGAATTGATGCTTTTGAATTATGGTGCTGGAGGAGACTCTTGAGAGTCCCATGGACTGCAAGAAGATCAAACGCATCCATTCTTAAGGAAATCAGACCTGAGTGCTCACTGGAAGGACAGATCGTGAAGTTGAGGCTCCAATACTTTGGCCACCTCATGAGAAGAGAAGACTCCCTGGAAAAGACCCTGATGTTGGGAAAGATGGAGGGCACAAGGAGAAGGGGACGACAGAGGATGAGATGGTTGGATAGTGTTCTTGAAGCTACCAACATGAGCCTGACCAAACTGCAGGAGGCGGTGGAAGACAGGAGTGCCTGGCGTGCTCTGGTCCATGGGGTCACGAAGAGTCGGACACGACTAAACGACTAAACAACAACAACAATGTTATGCCCAAACTGCCCAATGTAAGGGCCAGTTCAGATGTAACAACCATCTATGGTTTAATTGTTATGAGCATGATGAACCGTCAGGGTTGCACATTGCCTCCTCCACTCAGGTGGAGAGGTCATTAAAGGAATCCAGTTGTGGTTTGCCACAAACCACTGTTTACTGTTTAGTCTGAATATAGCAAACCTTGATTTATTGTTCTCAAACAAGGATCTGAAACCAGGATCAAGTCATGGTTATGACCAGGCTGTTAATGGTTTTTAATATAAAGAATAGGAAAGTATAAATGTATCAAAACCGGAAAGAAGAAACCTTCATCTAGTCCCAGAAGGAGGCCTGTTCACCTACCAGTTTCAGTTGCTATGGAATGACTCATCTCTCATCATCATCATGCTTAACTTTTTCCAAGCGGTCATCCGTTTTCCGTTTATTAAGATTTCTTTCCGTTAAAACCACCGAGCAAATTTTTGCTTGGCAAAATACCCAGGGAATGGAATTTTAGTGTCTGCAGCAAAAATTTTTGCTAGGCTCCAGGCCTAGCAGATGTTTTGCCAAGTTCAGGGGTGAGAGGTAAGGCATCTCAGCACAGGGGGGGAAGACTAAGAGCCAGTGACCTGTTGGCTTGCCCTGTCTTGCTGTCTAGGTTCTAACTGTTTATGGGTGACTTCAACACCGCTCTTCTCCCTTCCTTGCTTTTAAAGTGGACTTGAGCCAGACAACCCTTCAAATAGCGAAAATCCTCTGTAAAGTAGGACACTCTCATCCTACACTCTAAAGTAGCGCATGCTAGCTTGGCCTCAGGGGAATTGTATTCCCATGAAGTTGGAGGGCATCAGTCTGGGGAAGTTTGGTCTACAGGCTGTCACAAAGCATTTCCTTAAAAGTGGCTGTTCTTCTCAAGTGTTGTTTTTTAAAATGTCCCTACTATGTTGTGTCCAGGTACATGGGTGCAGTCAGGATTTATTTGGGGTGGGCAGGCTTCATGTATTTTATACTGTATTTTAATATTTTGTTGAAAGCCGCCCAGAGTGGCCGGGGAAGCCCAGCCAGATGGGTGGGGTAATAATAATAATAATAATAATAATAATAATAATAATAATGTGGGGGAGAACCTCAGTTAGTTAAGTACAGTGGTGCCTCGCAAGACGAAAAGAATCCGTTCCGCGATTCTTTTCGTCTAGTGGTTTTTTCGTCTTGCGAAGCAAGCCCATTAGCGGCTAAGGGGATTAGCGCTATGAGCGATTTAGCGGCTTAGCGGCTATTAAAGGCTTAGCAGCTAAGCTGTTAAAAGGCTATTAATGGCTTAGCGGCTTTGAAAAAGGGGGGGGAAAGTGGGCGGGGAAAGGGCGAGACTCGCAAGACGTTTTCGTCTTGCGAAGCAAGCCCATAGGGAAATTCGTCTTGCGAAGCGCCTCCGAAACGGAAAACCCTTTCGTCTAGCGGGTTTTTCGTCTTGCGAGGCATTCGTCTTGCGGGGCACCACTGTATTTTTATTGATTTACTTGTTGGGGGAGGGGCAGCCCCCCCAGCTATGCCTATGTCCAGGTAAAATTTTCAGAAATCTGTACAAAGCCCTTAAACCTCTCTCTCCTCTGGACAAAATAAATTGCTATAGAAGAAAGGATGGGGGGGGGGAGCAAAACAAAACACCAAATACACACAAGAGAGGTTGCCATTTCAAATGTGTTAAAAAAGCATCATTTTTATGCTCTAAGGAACATGACAGATGCTAACACATGAACACAAGAGGCGGGGAATAGACAGGCGTTAACTTATCTACTGAACATAAATAGATTTTATTTTTCTTGGCTTTATAACAATAATATGAAAGTGTTGCTTGACGCGTTGGTGCCACTTGTGTCTGCGAGGGATCGAAAATAGATGGACGGGCGTAAAGGGTTTTGTTGCGAAGCAATGAGACAGCCCCGTGATCTGTGTCAGTTGTTCATATATTAAAAGGTTTGCTTGTTTCTCTTTCCAAGATGAGGCTGATATCCCGTAATTACTTCAGGGGCATGTGAACCTGTCAGAAACCATCAGCGTTGCTCAGATCTTCTGTGGCAAAAAAATGAAATGTTATTTCTGGCTTTTTCAGAACACAATGAAAGGGCGGGAATAGTTTGTTCTGTGCCAGTGGCTCGTAAACTGTGTTCGGAAGGTGAACTCTGGGGTTTTCCTAGGATCTTAGCAAGGATTCTCAATGAGACAATTACTAATGGCGGACCTTGGAAGACAGCTTGCCCAATATTGCAAATGTTCACCAGGTGTTACTAACCTCAAAATTGGATTGCTTAAAGATGCTCTATATGGGCTTACTCCCTTGGGCTTACTCCGGAAGCAATGGTGGTACTTTCTCTAATTTTATGTTATGTCATGCTCCCCATGGCAGCCATTTTGTGCCAAGCCATGCCCCCATGGTAGCCATTTTGTAACTGGCACCCTCTGCACACTCTCAAAATTCAAAATGGGCCCCCAGTCCAAGAAGGTTGGTGACCCCTGGCTTCCAGACTGAAATGTGACAATATCATCATCATCATCATTAAAATTTCTATACTATTCCTTAAGAGAGGACCTTTTCTGTGTTGGCTTCCCAATTGTGAAATGCTCTCCCCAGAGAGGCTCACTGGTGCCATCATTATGTCTTTAGGTGCCAGGCAAAAACATTCCCCTTACCCAGGCCTATAGCTATTAAATAATCTGTGGAAGTTATTATGATGACTATTTTAGTATTAGGCTGTCTGTCAGTAGGCTTTTTATTATGTTTAAGCACTGATGTTCTGTGGTGTGTTTTTAATGTTATACACTGCCCTGGGATCTTTTGATAAAGGGCAGTATATAAGTTGAAATAATAATAATAATAATAATAATAATAATAATAATAATAATAAAAACCAACAAATGGAGGATCACAGGGCAGTTTACAATATAAAAGCACAAAAATACATAACATTGTAATGCACAAAAACAATATGACCAGTTTTAAAAGTCATATAATTTTTATTTTTATTTTATTAATTTTTATTACCGTAGTTTTTATTAAGTATTACAAGAAAATAAAAAGAAAAAAGAAATAGAAACAGAAACAGAAATCAATACATAACACTGTAAACAGTTATCTATGTATTTTCCAAAATGCAGACTAGAAAAGAAGAAAGACGAAAGATAAAAGAGAAAAAATACTTTTCATAATCAATAATACCAAATTCATACGTCAAACATTACAATATATAAACCCTAGTTAAAATATTATAAAAGACTTCCACCACATTCACCACACGTTTCTCAGTTATCTAGTTCATCTTTACATCTGTTCTTCAGTCACTTCCTTTCCTTAAGTTCTTTCATAGTCCATCAAATCTTTGTGTTCTCTATATTCTTCACAAGGTTAGTCTAAGCACAAAAACAATGGGAATTGGGAATGCTTAAATGAATATTTACACAAGCAGGGCTCAAACAGGAAAGTTTGGTTGTACTTAGGCCATATAATGTTTAATTAGCCAAAAGCCTGGGAGATGGTGAATATTTTCTCCTGGCACCTAAAGATATGCAGTGAAGGCACCAGGCGAGTCTCCCTGGGGAGAGCCTTCCACAAACGGGGAGCCTCTGCAGAAAAGGCCCGTTCTCCTGTTGCCATCTTCCAGACCTCTGGCAGAGAAAGCGCATGAAGTAGGTTCTCAGGTGCTGATCTCAGGATCCAGGTCGGTTCATATGGGAAGAGGCGGTCCTTGAGGTATTGTGGTCCAATTAATGGTATTAATGATCCCGTCTATGCATATGTGAACATCTCTGAAATAAACCATAAGCATTATTATGTTGTAGAAAGAAGGCCCAGGCCCGGGTACATATAACATAAAAGAAGTCTTGCCTACGCCTATTCGGTCATGCTTCCTGTCCAAAGTACCACGGTTGCTGCCATCCCATTCTGTGAGTATGATTTTCTTTACTGACCAAGAATTAATTCAGTTATAAAATGCAAACTTCAGAATACAAAATGGATTCAACATGTAATCTCGCAGCATCTTAACATAGATTGTTTTAATAGCTTGCCTTGTCGAAATTACGGTGAATAGAAAAAATATATATTCTAAAATGATAATGACTTGCCAGTCCTGTTTTGATATAAACAGAGGATTTGCCATGAAGAAAACCCCACCTTAATATAATGAATTTGCCCTTTTTATCTCCTCCCTTAACAGGGTACATTATATTTTCCAATCATTATTGCCTCTTTCATATTCCAGCTTGATTACAATTAGTGCGCCAATTGTGTTTATGCTTGCACTCCATCATCAAATCAAAAATAATATTGCCAACCAATAATCAGAACAGGTCATATACAAACAATTACACTTTTAAAAAGCATCTCAGGATAGAACATAGACATGTTGTCAAAACCTAAATCGCTAATTAGTATATACTTCTATGCAACTTTGGAATAAAATGAGGTGTTACATTTCTCTTTGCTTAAAGAAACCTTGAGTTCTGGCTTGTGAGTTGAAAATATGCTCATCTAAAGAGTTAGAGCTTGGCGCCTTGTATTGACCGTTTGTCTTTGCCAAGTTCAGAAGAAACAGCTTGAGACTTTTCAGCTATATAGCTGCAAATAAAACGTTTTAAGTGTGTTTTAAGTGCAATATACAATGTGACACTAGATGGCGATGGTGAGCCTTATGGAAAATTCAATGTATTTTATTTTTTTTAAAAAGCATTTTCAGAACAGTTTTTATATGTGTGTAGATTCCACCTCTATTCTCTGAGCAGAAATGAAAGTTTTATCTGGATTGGATAGGTGGGTATTCAGGTGTCTCAGCTGCCCCAACACTTGTTTTGAGTCAATTTACCATTGCTTGTGCCTATTAGGCAGGGAGATCTGTTGTACCACATTTTGTATTACCTGGCTCAGAAATTTGAAATGTGAGAACTCATAAAGCTCTCGCTCAACCATGAGGCAAGCGTTACATCCCTAAAAGTTTTTCCTCTGCCTCAGATTTTCACCTGAACCAGAGAAGAATGTCAAATTCTCACCCCGTTTGCTTCTGAACCCATTTTCACTCCCCCCATATGTCCACTTACCTCTCTTGCTGTTCCAGGGATAGCAGTGTTGGGAGGAAGGGGTGGAAAGTATTTCTCTTTCTCTCCTCCTCTTCTTCTTCTGCTTTCTTTCTCTCCAACATCAGGCATGTTGCTACCACCATTAGCCTGATGCCAGGAGCCCTGGGAAATGCAATTTCCCTAGTGTGCCTCACATTTGTAAGCAGTTGTGTGGGAGGGAAAGGAGATAGTTTTGGAGGGATGGGGGGTGAGCAGGTGAGCAGATGATAAAGACGAAGGAGGGAATTTGTTCCTCCTAAGGAGGAGGGTGGGTGAAGGCTTAAGAGGACCCCTTTGGGCTCTCGGGTGATTACTTGGGTTCAGAATAAACTGAGCTATTTTTCCAAGTGTGGGAGGGAATATTTCTGTGTGGTTCCTCCTCCCAGTCCTGTTCTCAGCCTAATGTGAGGTATTTATCACTAGCTCAGAGAGGTAGAGAGAGAGAGAGAGAGAGAGAGAGAGAGAGAGAGAAACACACACACACACACACACAGAGCGCACATATTATGAAGACATGGGATTTAAAAATAGGTTAGCAGAGAATGGGTTAAAAATAAAATACAGGCTTAAAATGGTAACCAAAAATGTTATCACTTAGTTAACACTGATGCGGCAATCTTGTACATGCTGGCTCCAGTGTTTTACTTTATGCAAGCCTACCTCGGTTTAAGGGATGCGGGTGGCGCTGTGGTCTAAACCGCAGAGCCTAGGGCTTGTCGATCGGAAGGTCACGAATCCCCATGACGGGGTCAGCTCCCATTGTTCAGTCCCTGCTCCTGCCCACCTAGCAGTTCAAAAACACGTCAAAGTGCAAATAGATAAATAGGTACTGCTCCGGTGGGAAGGTAAACGGCGTTTCCGTGCGCTGCTCTGCACTGTTTTGGCTTAGTCATGCTGGCCACATGACCCGGAAGCTGTCCCTCAGACAATAAAGTGAGATGAGTGCCGCAACCCCAGAGTTGTCCGTGACTGGACTTAACGATCAGGGGTCCCTTTACCTTTTACCTCGGTTTAATCTAATAATTGCCTTGTTTCTTACTCTTTCCATACAGAAAGTTCCTGGCCCAGGGAGTTACTGGCCTACAAACCAGTCTCCAAAACAACCAAGAACCATTGAGAGTCTGGGAAGGGAGCACACTATCTTCTTCAGCAATACTCCAGAGCTTTAGAAAACAAGAGTGGTGCAGTACACGAAATTCAGGGGCACCGATTCTGAAAGACCACTCCTCCTTCTACCTCATCCATATCCCATTCCTCACCAGGACCGATCAGCTCACTTTTATTCCTTTGGCTTTCAGTGGGCCACAGTGCCAACACCATGATGCGATTTTGTGCACTGGGTTCCCTGCCTCCATTTCCTCCCTGGCCCTTTCCTCACATCCCAAGATTCTTCATTATTCCTGCTGACGTGGCTCAGTCGTGTTCCTCCACCACTCAGTACGCTTCTTTCTGTTAGCAAGGAAACTGAGCGATGGGAATATATCCTGACCCCAGAGTCCTTGTGAGCTGCTGGTTGGGCTGAAGCCAGGTTCCTCTGCTGACTCGAGGGCACCAATTCTCCTGCATTCCTCTCTGGATTCGGTAGAGCTTAACCCGAACTAGATACAAAGAGCGTTTGATCAAGGACAGCCTCTGCTGGATGCAAGATCTGCAGTGGAAAGAAGAAGAAAAAAGAACACAGATTGCTGAACGATTTGAGGGGGCTCAGCCGTCACAGCCTTTCCCTGAGGTAGAAGGAAAAAAGACTCTGTTGCTGATCTTTTTATATTCCACAGATTTCTGTGTCCTCACCCCACCCCACCCCACGTATTTCCAGTCAGTCAGAGCATTGCCTATCACTCAGAAGCATCCCCACCCCCAGTAATGGTACTGAATTCAGTGGAGCCACTCTGGAATAAATGGCTTTCGGAAATTGGTGCTGATCTCTTTGCAAGCTTTTAAAGGGTGGTGTAGCCCCCTCCCCCATTGGATCCATCTGCTAGCAGAACAAACTTCCACTCATGTAGTAGGGTTTCCATTTCTACTCCTCATCCTTGAGGTCCTTGAGGTCCCATGGGTGGGGGGCTAGAGGGTGGGATTGCTGGAACCATGTGGACATCAGGAGATGCAGTGGGGAAGAATTGGTGGAAATTCTACCCCCCCCTTTCCCCAACAGGAACCACTGCTGAATCTCATTCCTTTCTGCAAACAGAGGAAGCCTTGTAGTAATCATACAAGTTTTGTCAACAAAATATTGGAAAGGGTGTGTGTGTGCTATAATGGAGGACTGGCTTACAAAGCAGTCCTAAATTTATTCAGAAGAAGGGAAGTCCTGCAGAGTTTAATGGAGCTTCTTATTTTATTTTTCAACGTTTATATATTACTTACTTTAAAAAAACATCTAAGGGGTTTACCTAAAATGGTGTAAAATATTCATTTAAAAGCATGATGCTGACATATCTTAAAAACAATAGAATTAAATTATAAAATGCATTCTTATAATTAAGAGAAAAGAAAAGAATGCCATACTATGTACACACAGGGATTAAAGCAAATGTGCAGGCTTTTATTACACTTGTCCTGCTTTCACAGGACTTCATATGAGATTCTCAGTACGCAGTGACTAGTTTAAGACCTGCATGGCTTAAATCTGGGATGGGGGGCCTTCCAGATCACCCATCAGCCCCAACTAGCATGGCCAATGGTTTGGTCGGGAATTATGGACATATTACCTTGTAAGTGAATTTAGTATGGAAGCATAAGCAAAACGTGGCATGTTATGGTTGCAAATAGCATCTATTACAAATGCCTGTGGGATGGTTTGACCTCCTTTGTAAATATGCATCTGGGGTTTTGATTCATTTTGTACTGGATATATGACTACGCTGATGATAAATGTCCGATAAGAACTGTCAATGATCTCCTGTACTGCTGTGTGTGGCTGGTGCTTGCAGCATTGTAGTTTAAGGGCAGGTGGGAATTATAAATCTATGATAAGCAAACTTCAGTGCCCATAATTCTTTGACGGGGGAAATGTACTTTAAAGGTATAGTGTTATTAAACAAAGCATTGGTCTTTGTTTTGTCTTGAAAGAACACAGTTCATTTTTCAAATACACTCACTCTATATTTTTATTTTATCTAAACCTATTATTATATAGAAATTAACAAAGGAATGTTAAAAAAGCAAATAAGTGGATGACCTAATTTCAATCAGTGGGGTCTTTTACATATACTCATAGGATTCGGGACAGTAAATTGCTCTTGAAACACATTTCTGTCCAATTTTGTCCTCTTAATGGAGAGCTTCAGTCAGCGAGGAAATTCAGCGAGAAGGAAATGAGTGGCTGATAAATGAACCAAACTCTCTAAGGATTATTGATCATTATCCAAGGAACTCTGGAGAACAGGCCTTTCAAAATAAGGGAACAGTCGTTTCGTGCTCCTTACATACCCTCCAACATTTCTCCGATGAAAATAGGGGCGTCCCATTCCATAATGATAATTTTACTATTTATACCCCACACATCTTACTGGGTTGCCCCAGCCACTCTGGGCAGCTTCCAACATATATGAACACATAATAAAACATTGAACATTTTTTAAAAAACCTTCCCCATATAGGATTGACTTCAGATGGCTCGGGGGTCGGATAACTCCATACCCTCCAACATTTCTCCAGTGAAAACAGTGACATCCTACCATATCTTCCATCATTTCTCCGATGAAAATAGAGGTGTCCTAAGGAAAAGCGGGACATTCCAGGATGAAATCAGAAACCGGAGTGGCTTCTCTAAATCAGGGACGTCCCTGGAAAATAGAGACACTTGGAGGGTCTGTCCTTATAACTTTTTTTTTAATTGCCAGTCTACTTAATCTCAACCGCATGGTCTTTCCAAAAGTGCTCTTAAATTTCATTAACTTGAAAGCAAGCATCAAAGTTCAGCACGTCACTGCTAGTTGATCTCATCAACACTTATGTGGTGTTAATTTCGAGTGTTAATATGTGGGTAGGGACCTGCTGATTGGCCACATAGGCCCCCATCTACACTGTACATTTAAAGCAATATTGTACTACTTTAAACATTCATGGTTTCCCCAGAGCATCCTGGGAACTAGTTTGTTGAGGGTGCTGAGATTTGTTAGGAGACTCCTCCCCCGCTCCCAAGATCTAAAACAGGGGTCTTCAAACTTTTTCAGCAGGGGGGCGGTCCACTGTCCCTCAGACTTGTGGGGGGCCGGAATATATATATTTTTTTGGGGGGGGGGGAAATGAACGAATTCCTATGCCCCACAAATAACCCAGAGATGCATTTTAAATAAAAGGACACATTTTACTCATGTAAAAGCACACTGATTCCCGGACTGTCCACGGGCCAGATTTAGAAGGTGATTGGGCCGGATCCGGCCCCTGGGCCTTAGTTTGCCTACCCACAATCTAAAACGTCCAGTGTTATTCTGACTGCAGCTTCTCATCCACTCATTTGGGTACTGCAGTTTGCAGTGCCGGAACTGTCCTGGGAAAAATAAACATGGAACAAATACGTAGTTACTATTCTTCTGTAACTAGGCAAGTTAGCTTTATACACTACAGTGAAATTGCTATTCTATGGTCTATAGCATTTTGTTTTTGTTTGTTTTTTTATAATAAATTTTTATTGATTTTCCAAACACATAATAAAAACAAACAATACACAAAACAAAAACATACAAACATATAAACATGCATAATTTCATAATCTTATTTTCATACACCTTACTTCCCGGACTTCCCCATACCTCCCCTTTTCTGCATCCTTGTTTTACATTTCTTCAGCAACTCCTCCAATTAATTAATTATTTAAATCACTTTCATTAGATTCTTTTTTCTAACTTATTGATTACAGCTGCAATTCTCTATTTCTTAGTTCCTTAACATCTTAACACTCCTCAATTTTACAGCAATTTTTAAGATATATTTTAAATTTCTTCCAGTCTTCTTCCACTGTCTCTTTCCCCTGGTCACGGATTCTGCCGGTCATCTCTGCCAGTCCCATATAGTCAATCACCTTCGTCTGCCATTCTTCCAGAGTGGGTAGTTCTTGTGTCTTCCAATACTTTGCCAGAAGAATTCTTGCTGCTGTAGTAGCATACATGAAAAACGTCCTATCCTTCCTTGACACCAATTGGCCAACCATGCCCAGGAAAAGCCTCAGGTTTCTTAGGAAAAGTCCACTTAAGGACTTTCTTAATTTCATTATAGATCATTTCCCAAAAGGCTTTAATCTTCGGGCAGGTCCACCAAAGGTGATAAAAAGTACCTTCAGTCTCATTACATTTCCAGCATTTATTATTGGGCGAATGGTAAATTTTTGCAAGCTTGACTGGGGTCATGTACCACCTGTAAATCATTTTCATTATGTTTTCTCTTAAGGCATTACATGCCGTAAACTTAACACCGGTGGTCCATAACTGTTCCCAGTCAGCAAACATAATGTCATGACCAATATCTTGTGCCCATTTAATCATAGCTGATTTCACCGTTTCATCCTGTGTATTCCATTTCAACAGCAGATTATACATTCTAGACAAGTTCTTAGTATTGGGTTCTAACAGTTCTGTTTCTAATTTTGATCTCTCCATCTGGAAGCCTATTTTCCTGTCCTGTTTAAATATCTCATTTATCTGAAGGTAATGCAACCAATCTCGTACCTTGGACTTTAATTTCTCATAACTCTGTAATTTAACTTTTTCACCATCTTGTTCTAAAATTTCACAGTATTTTGGCCATTTAGACTCCATATTAAGTTTTTTCACCTCTTTAGCTTCCATTGGTGACAACCACCTGGGAGTTTTACTTTCTAGTAAATCTTTATACCGCATCCAAACATTGTATAATGCTTTCCTAACAATATGGTTTTTGAAACCTTTGTGCAATTTTACCTTGTCATACCATATATATGCATGCCAGCCAAATCTATTATCAAACCCTTCCAGATCCAAAATGTCTGTATTCTCAAGAAGCAGCCAATGTTTCAACCAGCAAAAAGCTGCCAATTCATAGTAGAGTCTTAAGTCCGGCAGGGCAAACCCCCCTCTATCTTTTGCGTCAGTTAAAATCTTAAATTTTATTCTGGGCTTTTTGCCCTGCCAGACAAATTTAGATATGTCTTTCTGCCACTTCTTGAAACAGTCCATCTTGTCCAAGATCTGCAACGTCTGGAATAAAAACAACATTCTAGGCAATGCATTCATCTTGATGACAGCAATTCGGCCTAACAAGGAAAGTCTCAACCTTGACCATATTTCTAGATCTTTCTTTACTTCTGTCCAACATTTGTCATAGTTGTCCTTAAATAAGTTCACATTCTTAGAAGTCAAGTTTACCCCCAGGTACTTCACTTTTTTTGTTATCACTAAACCTGTTTCACTCTGAAACTTCTCTTTTTCGGCCATTGTTAGATTTTTCTCCAACACTTTCGTTTTCTGTTTGTTCAATTTAAATCCTACTTGACCAAATATCTCAATTAATTCTAATACTCTTTTAGTACTAGTATCTGGCTGTTGCAAAGTCAATACTAGGTCATCTGCAAATGCCCTTAGTTTTTAATGTCTAGCTCCGACCTGAACTCCTTTAACCAACTGGTCCCCTCTAATCATGTTTAACAAAACCTCCAGGACTGATATAAAAAGTAAAGGGGATATTGGGCATCCCTGTCGTGTACCTTTTTCTATAGGTATTTCTTCCGTAACCACATTATTTACAATTAACTTTGCTTTTTGTTTGGAGTATATAGCACCTATACCGTTTTCAAAACCTTGGCCTACCCCCATCTCCTGGAGATTCCTCTTCATAAAACTCCAGCAAATATTATCAAAGGCTTTCTCCGCATCCACAAAAATTAAAACAGCCTTCCT